AAGCTGGCTATTCATTCTATCAACCGCAAAGATTTCTATTTAAGTACATTATGGCAGCAAGAGCTTGCTGTGAAATAACTGAAATCGAGGAATTCTTTTAACTTTATGGCATACACCCTTTTTTCTGCTAAAAAGAAAGTCCTAGAAATACTTCTCGAGTCCTCAAATATCATCCAAAAAACGTCGAAACCAATTAAAGCGAAAAGAATTGCACATACACACACTCACATCTCCATCAACAAACAATTATTGGATATCAAAACAAAGACAATATTTTTAAACAAATCGCAGAAAGAATTAATTTCAACACATTCAAACAATTAAAGTGAGACGCAGACACGCTTTCTCCATCACCATCACCATCGAGGGCACACGTCTGCCAATTTGACACAGAAAATTATGACCATTACGACAATTGCGATTTACTTGCTGGCAGCAGACCGAGTCCACTGCTTCACCAACCATCAATACCAATAACACGTCCATTGGTGGTATTGACGCAGTGACACCCCGTCCGTGCGGCTCGGGCGCTCGCCAGCAACTGAGCGCGCGCAGCGGAGATCATTGGGCAGAAAGTGGAAAAAGCGGACCATGACTGGGCCACCGAAGAGCGTTACAAATCGGCTCCTTAACGGCTCCTAAAGAGCAACTCAATTTTAAACTCATGCCCACACACACACACACACACACACACACACACACACACACACACACACACACACACACATCGTGCATATAAGAAAAACCTGTGGAGAAATGCTTGCCGGAAATCAGTAAGTAAGAAGTAAAGAAAGTAGGAATGAAAACCGATTGGAATCGAGATGTCCTTGTTGCACCCACACAGGAACCAAATACCAGCGAAGAAGTAGTAAATAGAAGAAAACGAGCACTTGTTTGGTGTTTTTTTTCCAGCGTGTGTGTGTGTGTGTGTGTGTGTGTGTGCTCGTTGCTCCGTGTGCGCTTATTGCCACCTTATTGAGCATATCCTGCTAGCAGAGCTCCTTTCATTCCCTTGCATCTCTCTCCCTCTCGCTCTCCCGTTCTTAATTGCCCCCCACGGTTGTAGAGTCACGCGACGTTGTGGCGGCTCGCGACATTTTGGTTGGTGATTTGTCCCTAAACGCTCAGAGCCCGTGCGTTGTGCGTCCCGTTGCTCTTTCATACATACCACGCGCATATCCTCTCCTCACCTTTATATCCACCTACGAGTACATGTGCTCGGCAGCGCCTTCGTCGCCAGCTGCTGCCCCTTTTTTACGCCGACTGACTGCTTCCAATGCAGTGCCTGCGCTGTTGGTTGGTTGGTTATGTTTTTTAGCGTATTTATTTTTCTTTTGTTTTTGTTTTTGTAAAACTATGCTTTCCTCAGTATGGTTTGTCACCTTCTTGTTTTGGTGCTCCGCAGTTTTGGCCAATTTGGTTGTGATTCAACACAATTTCCGTTTGCCCCAAATCGTGATGGCAGCGCTATGTGTCGGTATGCCGAGTTTGGTTTATGTTGTGGAACTCCTCAATTATGTGGAGATTTGGGTTGAATGATTTTTGAGATTTTCTTGCTTGATTGGGTTTTCGATGGACAGCTGTTTTGCTTATTTGCTTTGTTTAGGTGGTTGTTGGAGTTTTGAGGCCCACAAACAGCTATTTCAAGATATTATTTTCGATATGAATCGCTCGGAACTTCTTTATCAGTGAAGAACTCCAGTTTATTTTGATATATAAAATTTTTTTTTTCATAAATTAAATTTTTTGAACTTTATATTATTTTATTTTATTTTATTTTATTTTTTTTTATTTTCTAAATTTTATTTGATTTTATTGAATTTATTTTTTTAGTTCGTTTTCTCTTATGTTATTTGATTTTATTTTGTTTTATTTTATTTTACTGTCTAATAATTTTTATATTATTTTATTTTATTTTTCTATTTTTTTTTTACTTCAGCTTATTGTAGATAGTTTTAAATATAATTTGATGTTTTTTATTTTATTTCGTTTTATTTGACGTTATTTTATTTTATTTTAATTTGTTTTAACTTATTTTAATTTATTCAAATTTATCTTATTTTATTTAATTTTCCTTGGCATTATTTTGTTTTTATTTGTATTTATTCATTTTTTTATTTTTATATTTTATTTTATTTTTTTTAATTTATTTTATTTTTTATATTTTATTTTGTTTACATTGTTTTAATTTTACCTTAATGCGTTTTATTTCTTTTGTTTTATTTTGTTTTATTTTATTTTAACTTATTTTTTGTTTTTTTAATTTATTTTATCTCATTTTATTTTCCTTGGTATTATTTTGTTTTGTTTTATCCTATCGTATTTTATTTTATTTTTTTATTATATTTTATTTTATATTATGTTTTTATATGATTTTTTTTTGTATATTATTTTATATTATTTTATTTGACTTTTTTATTGTTTTTATTTTATTTTATTTATTAAGAATAAATTAATTTTATTTTATTACATTTTATTTTATATTATTTGGTTCTATTTTACTTTATTTAATTTAATTTAATTTGATTTAATTTATATTAGTTTAATTTAATTTTATTTTAATTAATGTCATTTTATTTGATTTTGTTTTGCTTTGTTTTATTGTGTTTTATTTTATAATATATTTTTTTATTTAGTTTTTTTTAATATAGATTAATTTTAATTACTTCATATAATTTTTTTGAATTTAATTTATATTAATTTAAGTTAGTTTTAGTTTATTTTGTTTGATTATAATTTTTTATTTTTATTTGACTTTATTTATTTTTTTCATTTAAATTTTTATTATAATATTTTATTTATTTCATTTAAATTCTTTTCTTTGTATTTTAATCTTATTTTATTCGGTATGCAAAGCTGTATTTTTTAGGCATTTATTCAATTTGTTGAGCTGAAGCAGGTAAAAAAGTTGAGAAAAGTTGAAAAAAAATTGTTAACTGTTTTGAGTTGTTAATTGTTTTGAAAGAAGATGCTTTGTTTTTGAAAAACTAGGCTAGAAATATGTGTTTCACTCAATAAAAGACCTAATTAAATGGTCCTTAACAAAACGTATGCCTTTCTCTCTTCTTTATTGTTTCTTTAGAATTGGTTAAATGATTTCCTAATTATACTTGCTGTCTTAAAATCGCTTTGTTTTTTTTCCGGAGAGAGGTCTGCAATAATTGAGTATGCAAATTTTGTTCATGGTTAAATGGTTTTCAAGCTAAGAGATTTGAAAATAATATTTTATATCAAATAAGCAACAATAAGACAGAAAATACTCTGAAAAACCTAAAATATATTAAAATACTCTTCGCTTGTGCATGCCGACCGCCAACATATTTCTTGTCAACATAATTAAGATCTCAATTAGAAATGTCCCAAGCAAGACACACACACACACACAGTTCCTACTCATGTTCTCAATAGAAGGTGTAAAAGACCCACAAGCCACAAGGAAGCAGGTTAGAAAATGAGCGACTCGAGCTGAGCTCAGATACGTTTTTCTTTAGCCTAGTCTAGCATTGATCGAGGTCTTGACACCCGTGATCATTGGCGAACGAACGAAGGGCCAAGTTTACCGGCCGTTTACCGCGTAACCCAAACGGTTGGGTGCCACTGCTGCTGTGTTGAGTTTTTCACAACTTTTTTCCTGCTTTTTCTTCTTCCTCTTCATCTTCTTCGGGCTATTTGGAAAGCAACTGGCACCCGCTGGCGTACATTTATGTGTATGTATGTACGCACATATGTATTTTATTTGCACTGAGCACACTTGCTGCGCTTAGGCCTTCACAGTGTAGTTATATATTACATACACGTATGTAGTTCTGTATGTATGTATGTATATGAGTATATTTTTTTATTTCATTTTTTTTTTTTTGCTTTACATATGTACGTACATATGTCCTTATGACCTGCTGATTTCTCCATGTTCTGCCACATATAATTCTGTTTTTTTTTTTCAATACGCTAGCATGACCCGTACCTCCCTTGCACACGTCCTCAGCACCCAACCCCATGTGGCGGCTTGTGAGTACGCGCTCTCAGCGCTCGTTTATTGCCTTGCTGCGCTTGGTTGGTTAGCGAGGCTCTCAGTTTATATGATTTTTTTCCGGCATATTTTTTACAATTTTTTTTATTTCTTTTGCTGTTGTTGTTGCTGCTTGGAGTTTTTTATTCATTCATTTCTTTTTTTTTAATTCACTCGCCGTACTCTTAACTCAGTGTCAGCTCGGCGCGAGTTGCAATTTCGCTCAATTTTTATATTTCCCCCATTTTTGGTTGGCGGCCTAAAGCAGCAGCAACAACAACACACACTTGGTGTATATAAAAATGTACACATATATATATATGTATTTATATTTCTATATATGCTATATATTGTACATGCTTGAGACTTTATGTATGCACATATATACATATATATATATATATATGTATATATATATATATATATATGTCTATGCACGCGTGCGTGCGTGCGTGTGCGCGCTGTGGTAATACGATTGCATACCACAATGGAAAAATGGGAAATTTTTACTGTGGCTGTTGTTGTGGCAATGGTGGTTGTTGATACCTGCAAATCGTTCTCCACGTACACACCGAATGTTGTTGTCGTCCTCGACAGGCTTGCCACTGTTGTTGTTGTTACGGAATTTTGCCTTCTCCTTCGTCCGTCGCTGTGAGCGCACAGCCGTGCAAACCTTTCTTTAGTGTGTGTGTGTGTGTGTGTGCGCGTGGTGTCTGCGTGTTTGGATGTGTGTGTATGTAGCACCCTTAGCTGGAAGGGAATGTAGTGTTGGGCGGATACGAAACCATGAATAGACAAACAAACTCAGCATAAAGGTCGAGCGAGCGACCAGCGCACCACCACCACTACCACACAGGAGCGCTAGAAATAACAATAACAACATGAGAAAAATTACAACAACAATTTTCAGGTTTTTTTTTAATTTTGTTCGGTTGAGTTTTTGAGCGGAAAAGTGTGCGTTGTGCGGCCACGACGTTGAATCGCCTTCAAATACTGGTGTCGATCGGTCCGGAGAGTCAGTTCACTAAGAGACTTCAACGTGTTAAGAACGTTTTCCTCGGCGCAAATACGACGAGTTGTGTGGATGAATTTGCCAAAAGAACGAGATGAGCAATATTGAAAAATAGAAATTTGTACGTAAAACGGTATATATGTACGGTATACATACATATATGTGTGTTGCATTAGACGGATTATATTGAGACGGTTAACGAGCAGATAAACAACAAAAAGTGAATGAAAAAGTTAATAATAATAAACTGAAATGTGCTAGTGTTATAGAGACAACAACAAGAAGAAGAAAAATAAACATATTATGTCTTGACTCCCAAAAAGGAAATTTGTGAAGTAAAGCCGTAGCGAGTCTAAGCCCCTAGTGCAAATGCCAAGAAATTTTTAGAAAATTAAAAAATAATTAATTAAAGAGTTCTCAAAACCACCAGTGCAAGTGCAACCCCTGAACAATAAACTAACCGAAAAACCCGCTAAACGCCGGCACAACATACACACGCCGCAGCCAACTAGTCAGCACACTTGCCAAAAAAAAAAGGAAAATAATCAAAATTTGCGCGCCTAAAATGCATTTACCAGCCGGACCCACCATGATCGCTGCGCCAGCGCATCATGCCACAGTGCCAGCGCCACCCAATGCCGCCATGCCGGTGTCACAACAACACAGCACCGGTAGCGGCGGTAGCACACATGTGCCCAGTTCGGCCAGTTCGACGGGCTCCTCAACGCCCGATAACAGCAGCAGCAATAATAACAATAACAATAATAACGGCTCCAATAGTACGGTGGCCAAAATACCACAGCCGCTCACCGATATGTTTGCACACTTACACGAAATGCTACAGGAATATCATGGCGAGCTCGCACAGACCGGCTCCCCTTCGATACTCTGCAGCGCCTTGCCCAGCCATTGGCGTTCGAATAAGTCACTGCCGGGCGCATTTAAAGTGATCGCGTTAGATGAAGTGCCCGACGGCACTTTGGTTACCATTAAATGTGGTAATGATGAGAATTTTTGCGGCGAGCTGCGCAATTGTACGGCGATTATGAAGAATCAAGTGGCGAAATTCAACGATCTGCGCTTCGTGGGACGTTCGGGGCGTGGCAAATCGTTTACGCTGACCATAACGATTGCTACATATCCAGTGCAGATTGCGAGCTATGCGAAGGCGATCAAAGTGACCGTGGACGGACCGCGGGAACCAAGAAGTAAGCAAAGTAAGTTTTTAGTTTGTTTGCGCTTTAGTTTGGACGCTTTTAGTTGCTTTGTTTTGGGTTTACGCTTTTCGTGGGCTGAGACCGTTTTGACAAAACCGTTAACTAAAAAAAAAAATTTTGAACGACTTTTTTCCGCATTAGTTGCTTAACTCTTTTACTTTCATTAACTCTTCCTACATGTTTTTATTTTTATTTATTTATTTTCCTTCTTTCCTTCTGTTACATATTATTTTTTCTTTTAATTACCGTTACTTACGTTCGTTTTTTCCTCTATTATTTTCTCTTCTAGGTTATGGCTACCCACATCCCGGCGCTTTCAATCCATTCATGCTAAATCCCGCTTGGCTCGATGCCGCGTACATGACATACGGCTATGCAGACTATTTCCGCCATCAAGCCGCTTTAAGTCACCCAGCGATGGCGAAAACATCACCCACATTACCTGGCGCCGCGACGGGCCCGCCAAACAATATAGTACCGCCACCACCACCACCTGGCCCAGCAGGCGTAAGTGACTTCCATGCTGCACAACTGACACCACCACTTGCCGGTGCGCCACCAAATGGCGCCATCGGCTTATTACCCTCACCACCCGGCTCATCGTATGGCGTCCCTTTGCCACAATTCCCATTCAATCCCACACTAACTGCTGCTGCCTTCCATCCGTATCATCTTGCCGCCGGCCTACGTGTTGGCGCTCACAATTTGCACAACACATCGCTGAGCAGTTCGCATGGCTCAACGGATCATTTGCCCGCGCATATAAGTCCAGCTTCGTCGCGTCCCTCATCCTCCTCACCACCCGCGCATGCACATAACACGAGTACCAGCTCGAGCACAACCACAAATAAGCCTTGCACAACGCTAGATCAATCACTGTCGGATGCGGACCCAGAGAATGATTCGGATGATGAACAAATCGATGTTGTGAAATCCGCATTCATACCGATATTGAGACCAACAGTGCCCGCGCGGTCCGCCGCTGAGGAGCTGGTAAAATCACATCAGCAACAACAACAACAGCAGCAGCAACAACAACAACAACAGCAGCAGCAACACCAACAACAGAAGTTAGCGACCCGCATGCGTTGCGAACTGAAGGCGCCCTCCGTTGTGAAAGCTCAATACCAACATACCGCACGTCAAGCATCACCTGAGCTTACGGCCGCTACAAGACTTAAGACAGCCACGGCAAATGCGGCCAAAAGCGTGTGGCGACCCTACTGAAACGCTGATACAATCTCCGCCGCTTCGGTCGGAGTTGTTTTACAAACAATATTTAAAATTGCAGCGTGCAGTGAACGTGAACGCGAACGCGAACGCGAATTCAAGTACAGTGGGAATATCTAGTGAAGAAACCAAGCACCACTTGGCTTCTCTTAGGGTTTCCAGTGTTAGACTTTAGCAAAAAGTTCAGATTCACAGCTGTCTGGCACAGCGTTTATAGCTATATAGCAAAACCAGTAGCTGACCGCATGCCACTCAGCGCAGGACGCCACTCAGCGCAGGTCGCCCCTCAGCGCTGGTCGCCACGCTGCCGGCCTACCGCTGGCGGAAGCCAAAATGCCGACGGCAAATACGGCACGGCATCTACGACGTGTTGGTTGAATGATAGTTGACTGCGTTTCTCGGCGGAAAAGTTGCGAATGCGAATGCGAAATTAATGTATGTGCGATCTCCCAAACTCCAAAGCTCCAGCTACAACAACACTCACCCACATATTTTCCTAAAGGCACTTGTGATAGAAATGAATTTTTCCTACGCAATTTTAATTTAATAAATCTTTTTTTTTTTCTCGCGTGGAGCGGCGGAGTGTAGTTGAAATATTTTGTGATATAGTGTTAAGTTAAAAACGAAACAACAAAATGAAAACAGGAAAACCGAAAAAAAACAAATAAAAAAAAAAAATGATTATAAAAAATGTTAGTAAAAATACCAAAATTACGAAAAAAATATGTAAATGCCTATGCGGCGTGCAACTTGGGGTCATCAGCGGCGGGTCACTGATGACGCGACAGTTGCGTTTAACTGTAAATCATATTAGAGCCTGATTTTACTCAAATGTACCTACATACATACTTACTTCACACGAAAAAAAAGAAAAACACTCACACGATTTAGTTGTAAATAGGACAATAGGTCACACGCACACATATTTAGAAAAGGTAGGAGAAGAAAACGGTATTTGAATAACAAAAAAAAAAAAAAAAAAAAAAAACATTTTAGTCATACATCAGATTTGGTACTTGCCGAAATTCAACAAAGCACACAAACATGCAGACAAAGAAATCGAAACACACACACACACACACACACACATGTTTTCGAAGGACCTTTAGTCCTCTCTGGAACGCCTTTGAATTTATTAATTTTAATATTTTGTTGAATTTCTTTATTTGCAAATACTCGATTTTGTTTGACATTTGGCAAACATAAATTTGTCAGTGTTTCTTCCAAAAAATTAAAAATTTATAATTTTGTTTTTAAATTAATCAAATCGATGTTTGTTCATATGTATGTAAGTGATTGCATAAATATTTAGTTAATAATTAAGTTATAAAAAATGTGAATTGATTTTTTTATTTTTATTTTTTGCAAATATGTATGTATGTATGTAAAGCAATTTTTATATGAATTATGGGAAATTGATATTTTTTAATTAATGAATTTAATGTATTTTATAATTTAGGACAAATGTTTATTGTAAACTGTTGATAAACGAAAAGAAGCGTTACGAAAGAAGCGCGCAAACACACACAGACAGACAAAAAATTTAACCTACGAATTTCATGCATATAGCAAGCAAATAAGCAAGAAGAAGAAAAAAATTAAAAAAAAAATATATATATATATATATTTTTCCAAAATCATGAAAAAAAAGGCAAGTCTTTTTCTTATTTTTGCAAAAAAATTGGGGGATATATTCTTTTTGAAGTGGACTTGCAGCCCTTGAAGCCTTAGTCTTTTGAAAAAGAGTGGAAAATAATTTGGCGTTTTTTTTTTAACTGTCTAGAAATGCGTTTAGTGAATCGCGTTTAAATTTTCTAGAATAATTTCAGGATATTCATCTAATTTTTGCCTTCTGGGAACCCTTGTAAAGGTTGAGATAACCACTTGTTTTGAGTTTTTGGTTAGAGCGGATTTTTCTTTGTCATCCAAGACATTAGTAAAGCCTCTGAAGGTATTCAACCGGAGCTCGAGTGTCTTATCTTAGCGAACACCCAGTGAGAGCTTGTCAAACTACCCGAAAATGACGATCTAGTTCTTCCAATTTATGGTTGTAAGATAGCGTACAGGAGTCCGAAAACTGTATTTTAACGGACACTTTTTGGAAAGAAGCTCGCCGACAGTTGCTGTTTACCATATTATGAAACCGACGGACCAAAAAAAAAAAAGATACGAAAAAATATCACCGCTTCAACGAGAGCTGCTTTGGGGGAATGGTTTCGACGTTTAGAAATCAAAACAATACCAGCTGTGAAAAGTGATGACGCTGAGAGCTCCATCCTCAAGACGAACCATTCTGTCGCAGTAGAGTAGTTTCGGTTGTTCAAGAGTGAGGGAGGTGCTGAATTTAATGCGAATTTTCTGCTAAAATGAAACTCGCAGCAAAAAATTCATCCGAAAGCTTCTGAAAGAAAACTCTGCATGCATAGAATCGGCAATATATATACGCATTACTCTACTAAAAAGTCCAAGTTTCAGTAGACAGTTGTCATACTTCGCACCCTCAGCGGCCCAGGTCCTAGCCACATTGCGGAACAAGAAATTCCAGGCTGCCTTACATGTCGATTTCCACAGATCCACGGCGCTTAAGATTAAATTATTGTCAATTAACGTTTCAACGAATCAACTGTGGGGTTTTAATGGGGTTTATGAAGGTGAAAATTTTTAACATTTTTTTTGTTGCATTTTTGTGTTCATTTTTAGACAGATGGTTTTCAAGAAGAAATCAAAAGTTAACAATTTATTGTCAGGGCCAAGAAATCATATTTATTAGGTTCAAGAAATGGCTTCCAGCCAGTGCCTGCCAAATTTTCACATATTTTTCAGCAACTGTAATGCGCCAAATGTTTTTTTCCAATGCGTCACTCATCTCAGGCTTATCTGGGTAGGCAAGCGACTTCACAAGGGCCCATAAAAAACAGTCCAGCGTTGTTAAGCGCACATCAAAAGTTGTATGTAGATGTAGCTCCGTCTTCGATTCTGGCACGAAAAAAAATGAATGTTGCGTAGCCGGTGCAAGGTTGAACGAATTACCTATCGACTCTATCGTCGGGTGAAGCTTTATTTTCGTGCTATAAAACGTTGAAGATGCTAGAGAAAGCCTTTAGCGGTGTGGTGCACTATGAATTCCTTTCGCCCGGTCAAAAGGTAAATAAGGAATATTATTTCAGTGTCATGCGTCGTTTGCGTGAAGCCATTCGTAAAAATATACCAGAATTAAGGGCCAACAGTTCTTGGTTTTTGCAGCACGATAATGCACCGTCGCACACAGGACTCAGGAACATTTCGCAACAACGTATATAGTTCTCCAATCACCGTATTCGCCGGACTTAGCTCCATGTCGTGGACCAGGTTTTTAGTCTATTAGAGGATTAAAAGTGAATCGGCGCGCTCTCTGAGGACCATATCAGAACGTGACTATGTAAGTGCATGTAAGCTTCGATAATTGGAAAAAGGGTTGGCATAAATGCATTGTATCGGCAGGGGACTACTTTGAAGACGACGAAATCTATGTAGAAGAACTAATAAAGATTTTTAATTTTACAAACAAATTCACGTTACTTTTTGGTCACACTAGTCTACCAAAATCAGCCGTTCATAATCATATACGACGCCCTGGACTGGTAAAAAAACTTGGTATTTGAAATTCATTTAACAAGCCGCTTCAACGCTTGTGACATGCATCTTAAACGCATATTCATTCATATTCATCCGCTTTTGAAGCAAATTATAAGTGAAGATTAAAAATGGATCAAGCATAATAAAGCGCCACAGGCCACTTCAAAGGCTGATATTTACTAAAAGAAGATTGGTGGGATTGGAAAGGGTATATTTTGAGCTGCTTCCAAGAAGCCAAACGATTAATTCGGTTGTTTGCCATGAACAGCTGGACAAATTGAAAATATCCAACAACGCAAAGTGGCCAGATTTTATTAATCGTAAAGGTGTCATATTCCACCAGGGCAATGCCGTGCCGCACACACCTTTGGTCACTCGCCAAAAACTGAGAGAGCTGGGCTGGGAACTGCTGATGCATTCATTACCATACCTTGCACCGACAGACTACCAGTTGTTTGATCTTTGCGGCAGTCATTAAATGGTAAAGCTTTCCAAATTTACGAGGGTATAAAATCGCACTTGGTTCAGCTTTTTGCAGATAAAGGCCTTAAAGCTCCATGAGTGTATATTAATGATGTTGCCGGAGAGATAGTAAAAGGTCATCCAACAAAATGGAATTTACTTTCTTTCTTCATGACTTTCATTTGAAAAATCTCCGGTTTCTCTTGGGGAAACCCAATATTTCGAGGAATTACTAAGTTTAAAATTCGTTTGGATAATTTGTGCAATATTTTTGTGATAATAATTATCATATCTTTGTTTAATTAGTTTGTTTAGGTCAAGTAAAAAAAGTATAAAAAACCGAACAAACTTTTTACTCGTCCTAATATTAGGTGGAATAATTTTTTTGCGGAAACAAGTAAGTCATTTTATTAATATTGAAAGTGGTTTGAGTCCATTGTAGCTTCAGTAATTAAGGTCATAAAGCCATAAAAACCAACTTAAAACCAGTAAAAAATATTATTGAAACAATTCAAACGAAAACCTTTGAATATCTCAATTTAAAAAAAAATTGACTTAAACCACTTTCAAAGAGAAAGGCTGAAGTAAATATATGTATATATGTCCCATTAGATGTTGGCAGATTGGATGGCATTGATGTGGAAACGTTTACTTTCAACATGATGTCGCTACGGGCCATACAAGCAACGAAACCATGGACTTTTCAAGGGAAATTTGTCTTTGAATATCAAAATAAATCCTCTTATTGGAAAACTCGTTATTTAATATTCTTCATAAGCAAATTTTAGAGGGTGAAAAGAAATCTGAGAATATTACCTAAAAAATACATTTTGTTTTTATTATATTTTACTTTAATATTTTTTGTTTTTCGCCACCCTAATGTTATATACATAAATCTAAACAGATTCAACCTAATACGTTTTTTACTAAGACCACATAAAAATGTGTGAACAAAAATGAAATCAAAGCTAGTCCCCACTTACAACAAAACGTATAACTAAAATTTATGTACCAAAAAAAAAAAAAAACAAAACTCCTGCAACGCGCCCCCCACCAACGCCACGGTAAGTACGCATGTGTAGGCGAATGAAGGACATTTTTCACTTGACCACAGCGCATTACTAATGGCGAGCGAACAATAAATGACTGGTAATGAATACAGATAATCATCGCCAATTATTAAAAACACTAACAACAACAACATTTATATGTACATACATATGCATAAACTCTGTGTGTGTTTGCGTGTGTGTGTGTGCATTCAAAAATGCCCACAGGCAGGCGGGCATTAGAGGACATTAATGTGTTAATTTCATGCGACAAACGCAATTTGACATTTTAACCGAAAATGTCATGCCACCAGAATGCGTATTGAATGCAATACAAAAAAAAAAAAAAAAAAAAAAAAAAAAAAAAAAAAAAAAAAAAAAAAAAAAAAATTGAAAGAAAAAAATTTACCAACAAAGGTTAGATATAAAACTAAAAATTACGGCAAGGCACTGCCTATGGCGAGCGGCATGGAGACACAGAGAGAGAGAGAGAGAGAGAAGGAGCGCGGAAAATT